CTTCTAGTCACTCAGCAATTTAGGGAAAAAAAAGGGAAACGTGTTATTAAAAGAAGGGAGGAGATTGTCACATGAAACTTTCTTAAGTAGCTTTTTTTTTACTTTAACAAAATAAAAGAATTGCTTTGGTGTTTTCTCTGAAAAATCTGATGCACGACAGACTTTGACTTGGATTTGGGCCCACAAAAAAAAAAAAAAAATCTAAATACTAATCAAAACATCTTAAACATTTTTATTTTGTATTGATTTGACCCTCAAGTACTTTGTTGACTTTTAAACTCTACAGGATCTATCTCATAAAATCTATTATTACAAGCAGTGCAAAAAAAACAGAATGTCAGTCTTAAATTGTACATGGCGTTCAAGTAGGATAATCTGTTCCAAGCAAGTAGTCTGTTTAAATAAGAAAATACATCTCTTTAGTAAGATTTAGCTTCTTTTTTAAACTAGTACTAGACATTTGCAAAGCAAAAGACATTAAACATAAATAACCCTCCATGGACCTCCTTTGTGCATTAGCATTGCATTCACTGGACTGATAGGAGGTCCCTAATTAAAGGCAGGTGAATCTGAACTCAATTATTATTCTTGCAGCATCGTGCAAGCCCACCGAGCTCTGTGATGGATTGTGATCTCTGCTGTGGATGAGACGCTAGAAAGAGCACAATGTCTTACAGCGGGAGCCACTGATAACTTCATGCAGACAAATAAAGACTGTCACTTTTATTGATTTTTACCCAGCCCCCACTGCCAAAGCCATATACACCCACATCTCCTGCTCTATCCCTGTCTGAGTTTTATTCCTATCCCTTCATCCCCATCGCTTCCCTTTAATGGAAGTGCATCCAACATCATCCCTAAGGCATCTGAAAACGTTTTCCACCATAAATGTATAACATTCCCATAATGTGATCAGACTGGAGGAGGTGTGCATTTTATATTCCACTTTACTTCCATTTTTCTCTCTTGACCTTAAATAAACCAGCTACGGGCATACATACTGTATGTACTTATATAAAATTGTAAATAAAATATGTGGATGGCAGCGAAATTGTCAGGGCAGCGGTGGAGGCACATAACGAGAAATGCAATTTATTCCCCGGCACGTTGCTGCTTGGACAGGCAGATAATGAAAGGCATAGGTCATTGGTTGTGACTTAAACCTGCAGCAGTGAAGCAAAATACTTTAATAAATATCTGCAAAATCACTCGGATGGAGAGGATAACACGTAAGGTGGCAAATGATGCAAGGAGCGGGTCCTCATCAAACACGGGAATACAATTAGTCTTTGGGCTGCTGTGGAGAGACTCCCCGCAAATCATAATATCTCCGGACGCTGACATGTGAATATCCATTAGAGCTTCCCATTAGAAGCATGTGCCGTGACAGCCTGATGACATAAATGCAATGGCTTTTTTTAGAATTTTTATTTTAAAATGTAAACGTATAGCACATCCCCCAATACCCAGGTTTCTAAAATAGTTTAGTTATAGTAGGAAATTTTTTCTTTTTCAAAGATGGACAGATGTTTTTTCTCCCATCACAAAAAAAAGGATTCACAGTAAGATAGTGATCATCCATCAGTTTTTTTTATTTTTCTAATCTCCATTTGAGCTCTGGACGCATCCTCTGTTCTGTTCTGTTTTTAGAGAAAGTGACATCTTTGTTTTTTGTTGAATTAGGAGCTGAATAAACTACCTGATGACAACCCATCTCTCTAGAATTACCACATTTATCAGTGTTGTTTTCTATTAGTGTATTGTAAATAGTCTGTCTGTATGCTCTATTATACATCTGATGGCTGCTGAATAGCCAAGGCAGGCTATAATTATAAAGGCTTAAAACAAAGCACAGCAGCAGTGTGGGTAAATTGTAGAAAAAGACAAAGGATGCTATTTGTCTGCTAGAACTGAAATGGATATCCATTAAAGCATGCCTGTTGTTTGTGTATAACTGCGTCCAAATAGTAAGGATGTTTTTTAAGCCATAAGCTCAGCTGTCATATTGTTCGTATGCATATTAGGGCAGGGTTTGCAATTTATCTCTTCTTATTGAAAAATAGCCTCATTTTTATCGTGTACATCTAAAGATGGAGTTCTAGTAAATGTGTCTTTCTGTCTCTGCACTACAGCAGGGGACCACCCGTTCGAGTGTGAATTCTGCGGGAGCTGCTTCCGGGACGAGAGTACACTGAAGGGCCACAAGCGCATCCACACCGGGGAGAAGCCCTATGAATGTAACGGCTGTGGGAAGAAGTTCAGCCTAAAGCACCAGCTGGAAACTCACTACCGTGTGCACACAGGTACTGCATCCAAAATGAGTGAAGAGGGAAAAACAGAAACTATGTTTCGAGGAGGACTAGGTTCATTCAGACTGACATCTAGGGAATACTGTCTGAATAAAACAGCCACATTATGTATTGATCAATTAACTGAAACTCAAAGACTTGAGATTAAATTCGAACTTGGAAGGCATCAGAAAGCCAAATCAGATCTCAAACTCCAGTAAGGCTTCAACATGTATATAAACCGAATGGAAAATTCAATAAGAAATATATATATTTTTCTTCTGATTAAGTCACTTACATAGTTACATTAATACTTAAATACTTTGTAGTCCAAAGCATAATATAAAATCATGGTCTGGCTTTAGAAAGACAAGTTATTCCTAGCTTTAGTGAGCTATAAACATATAAAATATGGTGTTTTTCAAAGGTTACAAAAAGTTTTTTTTAATTCAAAAGATTTAAAATATAATATAGTTTCATAGAGAGCAATTCTCTCTTCTTGGAGTGCGTTGGACTTTTTTAAAAATTGCACTATAATAATGCAAAAGAAAAGAAAAAAAAAAGAATCAATGTAAGTTTACAAAGTTTATTTTGCCTCTTTGTATTTTTCAGAAATTAGTATTTTTGTATGTTTTAAGGGAAGAAAAAATAAAACAAACAACCTGACCTTATGTAGAAAAGTAATTGCCACCTAAACCTAGTGGCTTTGGATGTTCCAGGTTGGCTGCAACTCTGGTTCAAACTCTGGTGTACAAATTACATTACAGTTTACAATTACATCTATCTATAATTAGAAATTCATAAAACAGTTGCAAACCATAGATCTCATTTCCAAACCTTTGAGGAATCGTTTAAAATGTCCGATTGGAATCAAATCCTTCAACTTCCAGTCTTTCTGAAGATTGTTCCATACTGTGGGGGCAGAGTACTGAAAAGCTTTCCAGCTTCAGTGCGGACACTAGGTACAGACAGAAGCAAAGACTCTTGAGAACGTAGAGAATACAGTTCAGCCGCTCTTGGTTGAATGTACTCACAGAGGTATGAGGGGAGCAGACGCAGAATACCCTTATAAATCATCATATACCAGTGAGTGATTCTACGAGTCTCTAATGCTGGCCAGCCCACGCGTATGTAAAGTTCACAGTGGTGTGTGTGAGGCTTACAATTTGTGATAAATCGTAGGGAGGCATGGTAAACTGAGTCTAACATTTTTAGAACTTGATCTGGGGCATTGATATATATTAGGTCACCATAGACCAGAATGGGTAAAAACGTTGCAGCTACCAGTCTCTTCTTCGAATTAAAAGAGAAATAAAGCCTATTCCTGAAGAAGCCAAGTTTCTTAATCAATTGTTTAACATGAGGTTTAAAATTTAGACTTTATATCATCAATTAAAATTCCTAAATATTTAAAAGATTGAACCCTTTCTATCTCTGACCCATGCAAGGTGATAAGAGGATAGCTATTTTGCAATTTTGTCTTTGTTTTTGAAAATAATATCATTTTAGTTTTATTTGCATTTAAAGAAAGATCTAGTTTTAAAAGCCTGTTCTGAACCGAATTAAAAGCAATTTGTAAAGTAGACTACTGTTCTGCTGCCTAATCTTTTGGTCACAAACTGATGGCAATTTATTCTCCTTCTGATTTTTATACAGTAGTAGAATGCACCATTTTTGATTCCATCAGTTAATGTCTTAAAATTGCAAAGGAGCTCCAGAGTCCATCACTGTGTGTCACTGACACGTTTGAAATGTTACCTCCGTGTCAAATCTTTATTTAAGTTATTTGTCCACAAAACATATTCCAAAAGTCTTAAGGCTTGTCGAAATAACTTTTGGTAAAAACGAGAGGCCTGCTTGTTCTCTATAGTCTGAAATTGTTCTTGCAAGGATAATATTTTGCCCAGCTTTCTAACTTATAAATGTATCTTGCACTCTAACCTAAAGGTTCTTTATCCTTATTTTAGACCTTACAAAGTCAACTTAAGGCATATATGATATGTGCCTTTGGCACAAAATGGTATTATTATTTTTTTATAAAATATTAGTTGATTTTTGGTGCTTTTAGCTAGCCTGGGTGCCATTCCGAACCTAGTCCCGCCCACAACGTTTGAGGTCGGGAAGTTTGGTCTGGCATTGCTCAATAGTAGCGCGAGTATGCTAGCACAATATCTGGCGGGCCAATCAAATTTTTAGGGCGGGCTTTATACGATGATTGACAGATGATCAACAGTAACGTAATCAACCACGTGACCAAAGCGCACTTGGGTGACAACAACAATGGCTGCCGCTGGAGAGTTGAGGTGAGTAGATTCTGCTATTAGGTCTGTTCTAGAAGATATCGACAGCAAATTAATTTTAAAAGAGGAACAGAGAACCGCGATCAAGGCTCATCTTCTTGCTTTGATTTTTGTTGACAACAACTATGCGTAGCTTAACATACGTCACGCACTCCGTTGCTCTTATTGGTTGTAGGTCTATCCAATTGAGTGTAGAGGGATTTTTTTTCCTGGTTCGTTCGAAACACGCCCCATAATCACAGCTCTATGGAGCAGAATCAGACTCAGATTCTGACTAGAATTGAGTAGGACTACGTCAGGCTAGCTTTTAACCACCCCAAAAAAGAAAATATAATCCCCTAGATTGTGACGCCACCTCTTCTGGTGTGAGAGGTTTAATTTAGTAACTCCAAAAGTTAAGATGAAAAGAAAACTCCATTTTTCATTGCTGGTCTCTGAGAAAACCTTCCTGCTACCATTACTCAAACTGTTGGTCAGTCTTTAATGGTCATTTTTAAGCAGCTCCTATGATATAAATTTTGTGTGCTACTGAGAAACTTCAGGATATCAAAGTTCTGAGGTCGAGACAAGACAGATGAATATCAGTATTACTGTGATACAGTGGACCAATGTCTCAGAAGACTTGGTATTGATCGCAGTATATTTAGAGCCCCATAAAGATGTTGACACAGTGATAGGCTAGGTGCCCTGGAGAATGAGTGCATGCTGCAAACTCGATTGAGTGAGTATAGTCTACCACGAGCGCTCAACAGGGTGGCACACAGCCAAGGGTTTATGCTCTCTCGCCATCCTTTTTTTTCTCCTCTCCAACACACACGCACAAACTCCCAGCAGCACCCTCCCATCTCCCATTCAATAAACCAGCTGTTAAGCCACACTATCAAGGCAGCCTGTCCAATAATTGGCTCCCCTCCGTCCACCCTTTCGCCTTTTGTATGAGGGAGGGGGGGCCTTGCGTTAAGCCGGGGAGCAACAGCAGATAACAAGAGCGAGTGACAAGCTCACAGTCAAAGGCCACCTCACACAAAAGCAGCTGCTTGATGAATCATCGACATTGGCAACCTAACCCCTACCCACCCCACGCCTCTCTACACATCCCAAATGCCAATGGCTGATCAATACCAAGGCACCATTTGCAATTCATTATTAGCTGATTATTTGAAGGGACTGTGTTTACAGTCTGGTTATCAATATTAACATCCTGCATGTGCTTACAGCGAAATAGAATAGGTTTTGCAGCACTGTAACAGGCAAAATGACACCATTTATCCGGCACCAACCCCGAGGTCAAGGTTAACCTGGGGATTCTCCGGAACTGAGCAGCAGAGGCGAGTTTGTTGTCGCACACATGTGGGTACTGCGAAAAAGGTGACGGCAAGCGCCGGACCAGATCACTTCTGATCAGCCTTTTTCAAATGCCATTGGTAAAGGTCAGCATTTACATGTCTAATTTGAGTCTGTCAGCTTGAGCGCTGGTGGATTATTCCCTGCCATCACTCAAATCATTAGCACGTTTAGGACGGCCGCTGCTGCCAAATTGAAATGTGGCCGTTAAACATACCAGCCCCCACAGCGAGAGGCACACTGATTTATAACACCTCCAGGAATTTAAAGTGGCGGGAGCTTGTATGTGATATATCATAGATAATTTGGTGTTATTACTTTTTTTTTATTAGTCTGATATACACTTTTGCAATAAATTTGTTGGATTTGAATATTATATTGGAAAGGATTTGGTCATTGCTGGGGTGTGGTGATGTCTCAAGGGTAGAGCACTTGGCTCATTTTTGTAGGCCTTATTCCAAGATGCAGCCATTTGGTTTGAATCCTTAACTGGAGACCTTTGCCCACTCTTCTCACCATCCCTCTCTTTCCTGTCTAGCAACTGTTTAAATCTGGGGTCACCAACCTTTTTAAGGGTACCGAGACGTAGGTAGGGCGACCAATAATGAGCCATGAGCTGCAAGGGTTAGCATTAGCCTAAACTTTGTTCATTATCAACATATTTTTAATGTTTCTGTTAATTTCTAAGCTTATTTAGACATTGTCATTTTGAAATCTCTATAAATGATTAAAAAGAAGAGCAACAGAATAAAATAAAATTTCAAACTTAGCCCACTGGTGGGTTGTTCTTTATTTAGAAGACTCTGAGGGCCCCCCATGTGGTCCTTGAGGGCACTGCGTCGGTGACCCCTGGTTTAAATGAAAGACGCTAAAGTCAAGAAAATAGCTTCAAACATGAGGATAAGAAGTAGAACTACTGTTGTACTTTTTTCACACCTTTAAGGTGTACAGATCTTTTCCAATTTTTTCCATTCCATATTCTCCCACTTAGTCCTTGTCAGGGTTGTGGTGGGGCCGGTGCCTATCTCCGGTATACTACAAGCAAGAGGCAGGGTACACCCTGGACAGGTCGCCAGTCTGTCGCAGGGCAACACAGAGAAACTCAAAGACACACAACAATCCAAGCACACACTCACACCTAAGGAGAATTTAGACAAACCAAATAAACTACTGTAAAAGTCTTGTTTTTGGACTGTGGAAGGAAGCCGGAGTACCCAGAGAGAACCCACACATGCACAGGGAGAACATTCAAACTTGCAGAAAGACCCAAATATTCTACCCAGAACATTGTCGGTGCAAAGTAAGAAGTGCTACCCAATGCACCAGCGTTCAGCTCTCTCAACTATTTAATCTTTTTTTTTATACTTTATTTATTTTCGAAAGCACACAAGAAAAAATATGATTTTTTTTCATTTTCACCTCATTGTGAAAGCTTTTGGGTTACACCGAAGAACATATACAAAACTACCATTCATGTGTTCTTCCGTTATTAGGAACAAATTATCAGGGTTGTCTTTATAGCAGGTATCTTTGTCTCCATTTTAAACAAACATGAATATATTTTATTTATTTCTGCTGCACATTTTGGGGTACAGTGAACCCTCGCTGTAACGCAGTTCACTTTTCACGGTCTCGCTGCTTCACGGATTTGCATCATGCATTGTTAAACTTTATTGTCAAACATAATCAATGGTGGCATGTCGGTTTATAAGGATATTTTGGCCCAGAAGAAAAAGGAGCGACAACAACTACCGATAACTATGTTCTTCTCTCCAAAAAACACACCTGCACCGCAGGCTTTAGAAGAAAAAAACGCCACAGAGCAGTCAGGATACACGGCTCCCTCAGAACAGCAGTGAAATACTGTACTGTACACGTCAGTCACTATTTGTCCTACTGTAGCTACTTTGTATTTTTTTTTTCATAATCATTTTTCATTTTCTCCCGTTCCAATCCGTCACGGCGGGGCGGTGCTGATCCCCGCAGTATTAACCCCACAGTCCGTATTGATGATTAAAATTATTACTTATTTGTTTATAACTATATTATTTTACAGTACAGTAGTTATTTGTAAAAAATAAATAAATAAATGAATAAATAAATAAAAAAAAACATTTACACAGTACTTTTATTTGTTAAACAAAGGATTGGGCCTGTCAAAAGTTTTTGTTCCCTGATTTCAATGTTTTATGGAGTATTTCATTTTATAATAACCGTTAAAAAAATAAAGGTTTCTACTTCACGGATTTCGCCTATCGCGGGTTCTTTTTGGAACGTAACCCCCGCGATAAAGGAGGGTTCACTGTACTAGACATATCTGGATTTGTCTGTTAGAAAATGACAGCAACCTGTGATTGTTTAGGAGTGACAGCAAAAATAAAAAATAAGTCATTTTACTAATATCAACATTTGCAGCTCACTAAACTATATTTAACTTGATCTATTAGCCTTCATCAGAAGAGACCAACAGCAGTTTGGTCAACTTTGAGTTCAATTCTGGTGGCTTGGTTTTGACTGATATGAAAATTCACCAAACTAAGGGGAGGACCCAACAGGGGGAATCGTCTTACTTACAAGTGCAACCTAGTAGCAAACATTTCATCTATCAAACCAAAGAGAGAAGATAAAGCATATTTCATATTATATATTTTTTTTTTTAAATTTATTTTCTTTTATCTCTATGTATTTCTTTTTTAATGCTTTTTTAAATGCTTTTTTGTAGCACTTTGAGGCCTTTTTGGTGAAAAGTGCAGTATAAATTAAATGAATTATTATTATTATTATTATTAAGACAGAAAGTAAAGCCTCTCCCATGTATGAATCGCATAAGATCGAACATTTCCATGCCTATTGTTTGTGTACACAGGGATGCAACAATATGAAAATGTGGCCAATATCCGATATTAATATTGCTTTAATGGCCAATAACTGATATTTATCAATATTATAAATCTTTTCCAAGATTTCTACACCATGACAAATAACCAAACCACTAATATTTGTTAAACAGCACTCATCCATGACCAAGCAAATACCACAAGGCTAACCACATCCCCTCCATCTTCATCCACATTTTGCATATTTCTTTATCAGCAGCATTTAAATAACACTGTAAGTATAATGGATGTCTTCAACCATCTTCCCAACATCTTTAGGTGAGAAGCCATTCGAGTGCAAGCTGTGCCACCAGCGATCCAGGGACTACTCGGCCATGATCAAGCACCTGCGCACCCATAACGGCGCCTCGCCCTATCAATGCACCATCTGCCTGGAGTACTGCCCCAGCCTGTCAGCCATGCAGAAGCACATGAAAGGTCACAAGCCTGAAGATATCCCCCCAGACTGGCGCATAGAGAAGACCTACCTGTACCTCTGCTACGTCTGATACGGGATCGGGGTGAAAGGAGCGAGGAGGGAGGGAATGGGGGTAGAGAGGTAAGGGGGAATGTAACAGAGCAGGTAGGAGGTCCTGAAGAGTAAGGAATGTTAACTAGAAGATGCGAGAAAAAAGGAGGGCTTGTGTTTTTTGTTTTGTTTAGGGTTTTTTTTTTACATGTAAAGGTGGTGATGGGGAGCTGGGTATAGGGGCAAAGACCGGGGGGGGGGCTAAGAGACTTGAATGTGGAGTTGTTCTCCGCTATGTGTCGGATTCACCGGGTCATTCACTACACCTGGAACTGTGTTATTGGTTCAGGTCATTTCTTGCAAAAACACAAAGCAAGTAGGCTACAAAGAAGTGACTCTATGGGTGCCGCACTGATAAGAAAGCTGATTCTCGAGGGCTGTCTGCCTGCACATCCTTCCCTTAGTTCCATCTTCTTTTTCTGATGCACCTAATTTGTAAAAGAAAAAAATATTACCCCAGATTTTGAAAGATTTGAATCGTCTATTATTGTCCTTGATTTGTGTTTCCTTTCCCATGCCTAGAATTTGAAAGTTTTTTGTGTCCATTCCCGAATCCCTCCAGAAGCGATGAGACAGCCCCTGAGAATCAGTACGAGAGCCTGCAGGCTTATGCAGTAGATGAACCGGACGTGTGGGACTATTAAAAATGCTGCAAACCAAGCACTCATTTGGTTATGAGCAGGGAAGACGCTCTCGCTGCTTCCCCCAGGAGGTCTCCCCAGTTTCTTCATCAGTCTTCCTGGGTCTGCATCTCTTTTTCGAGTGCGGGTTAAAGACGCTCGAGTCACCACTGGCCTCTCAGGGCCAACGACTTTTATGTCATTTTTTTGTTTGTTTGTTTTTTTGTTTAGCTCTGCATCATAGTTTATCATGGCTTGATTGCACAGGTAAAGCAAACTACGACAACAGTCTCTGTTCGACGTCAGCAAAGTGTATAAACCCTTTGATGAAATATAACTCGCTATCATAATATCGCACAATAAAAAACCCAGACATATTCAGCAAATGATAACTGGAATGCTTTTACCCATGCGCATTTATCCCGATGTATCTCACACTAACAATATCCGACATAAACTGACTCATAACAGTAACGCTTTGACTGCCAACGATCTGTCAACTCACCACGGTCGGGGGAAATTAATCATAAGGGGAGAAGGGTTGTCGTCTGCATGGGTCCTGTGACTCTGACTGTTCGTAGTGAATGTGGAGGAAGTGTTGAGGATGCCTTAGCTGCACAAACTCTGACATTTGTCAGTTTTAAGGACTTGATATGGCAAAAATCCTGAATGTGAACGTCTGAAAGCAAGGTGCGCATAAGGCTCTGTGGAAATGCAGGTTTATTCTGTCTGTTTCGTGTCAGAAACCTAAAATTGCCACTTTTAGACTTTTTTTATTTGTACTTTTTTTGCCTAGAAGTCATAAAGACAGGAAACCGGAAGCATCTTTACCATTTGAAATGTGCCCTTCTGCTCAGTCCTTCAAGGGAAAAGATTGCTGAAATAGTCACGGTTGACATCTCCCAACTTTCTGGCGTTTTAAACTGTGGCATGTCCGGTCACACGAGTGATTGTCGTGACATCTTCTTGGGAATTACATATCCAAAAGGCAGGTGTGGAGGGGGAGATCAGAAATCACTGATTGAATGAGACATGGCCAGGCAGTGAAAGAAACGACAGAGTAAATGGGCTCTTTCTGTGGTTCCGTCTGTGCGCTTTGTCCCTCTTTGTCTCTTATTGTGTTTCTTTTTTATTGACCTTGAGTTTGGGCTCAACACATTGTACTTGAATTACCTCTCGCTCTTTTTTTTTTTTTCATGTGACCTCATGTTTCTTGTGTATTTTATAATTTTTCCCTTGTGTTTGGCGTGTATATTTTGTTTTGGTTGATGCGTGTCAGAGAATGCGTCGCAAAAAAATGTGATAAGGTGGAGAGGTTTGCAGAGAAATTAAGTGCCACAGAGAAGAGATTCTGTTTCTTTTTTTTTTATTTTGTGTTTTCTTTGTTACCAAACCTGGTATTATTAATTCTGTTTAAGGAGCCGGATGGTTCATTTGTTATAAAAGCTACCTCTAAGTTGTTTTCACATTAGTATTTTTTTTTTTTTTGCAAAAAAAGAAGACAAAAAACATTTTTTTTGTGTGTTTTTGTTCTGCATTATTTGTCAAAGCTAGTTCATCTCACGCTTTCTTTCAAGTTGATTTATATTTGTCTCTGTTTTCAAGAAAAGTATATAAAAGGGTAAAGCAGATGTGGGGCAGGATGAGAAAAGTCATTCGAATGGATGTTTATTCTTCTCTAACGTTCTCCCCTGCGCCTCCGACAACAGGAGAGCAGAGAAAAAAAATTTTTGAAGCCTTAAAGTGACGAGTAGGACAGAAGAGTTGTGTTACTTTTTGAGAGTGTTTAAAAACAAGAATTTAAACTTGAACATATGTGAATAGAGTTGTAGTTTTGTAATGTGAAATGAGAAAAAAAAAACCAACATACTGATCATGACGTTAGTTGAAAACGCTGCAGCGCACAGGGCAGGTCATATTTGAAGCAGAGCGCGTTGGACAATTTGGAAGTGCAAAGCGTAATCGAAAAAAACAAGAAAAGATTAAAAAACCAGAAGGTTAAAAATAGAGCTTCTCCCTTTGATAGAAGCAAGAGTGTTTGTTTCTGAACAAGAGCCAACAGAGGCAATTTGATATATGAAAAAAAATTGTGATATTTTTGTATTCCGTGTCGGTCCTTTTTTCCATTTTTGTGGAGGGTTAAAGCAGGGCACAAATAATATTTGTATTTCTTTCTTTTTCTTTTTTACTGTTTTTTTTTCCCTCTTTCTGGGTGTGAATCATTTTTGCCTTGCTCCTCTTTGATATTGTTGGACAAAAACAAAACAACAAAAAAAAAAAAAAACGGTGTGAACATGTTGTAATAAGTGTCGCTTTCTGGATGTCAGTTGCATTGTCGGTGAAGGACTAAATCTATCCACCACCAGTTTTACAAGTGTGTGTAAAAGTTACGGTTAAAAAAAATAAAAGAAACAAGACGATACAAAAAGAGAAAAAAAATATATCGGAACGGTAGACAGGGGGCGCTGCCAAACCGACCAATTAGTACTCGTCACTCATTGTTTATGTCAATCAAACTTGACTGTCGACTTTTTTAATTTACTTTATTATTTTTGTACTTGAAAAAAAAAAAAAAGAAGGGATGGCATGTCCCATTGTGTCTTGCCATTTTATTCTTAAACACTGTGAGCTGAGGGGAGGGGGGGGCCCTTCAGATAACATCCACCTACTATAATAATAATCAAAAAAAGCAGTCACAGTTCAGTCTAACCTCCACAATGCAAGACCTGTTCAGTCACATTATCTTTTTCATCGTCCTCTGAATGTTTTCTACTTGTTTGTGTGTATGAAAAGAATGGTAACTGTATGAGTGAGTGTGTTAGTGAGAAAATGCACTAATCAGATACAAGATAAAATGATATTCTATGCCACTTTTTTTTCTGTTGGGGAAAAAATATATATATATAAATATATACATATACATTGGCATTGATATAGTTCTTCCCTCAGTGTTCCTCGGGTGTTTCTGTACTATCTTTGTGCCTAAAAATGGAAATTGTTCGACAAAAATAATCCATCTGTATCTGCTTTTGTTCTGTATTTCCAGAAGAATATAAAAATGTTGTCTCCAGCACCCTAGGGATGTCATGAAGCTCAATTTATGACTTCTTTTTTTTTTTTTTAGAGCAAATTATGCGATAAAATCTCTGGATTTACTTCTTTAAGCTGTACTCTGTTATTGGCATCCGGAAGCACTTTCTCTGCCGCCAGATATAAAAAGAACATTTGGAAGTTCATGCAATTATTTGTCTACAAACAGCAGATTTTTTTTTTTTTTTTTGAGAAAATGACTAAAAACCTTCACAGGTGTAGGTTGGCACTAGGGTTTTTTTTCCCTTCTGCTTGGTTATGTTTATAAAAGTACTTTTTTTTTAATCCCCTTGTTTTACAAAATGCATTTATCAGACGGGGATGTAAAATTTGGTCCGAGAGGAATCATGGCATCCCTGGAAGCTGGCACTCTGTGTTTTTTGGTGTGGTGTTTTCTAGAACAAAGTAGCCATTTTCATGCAGTGTTGCAGTGCATGTGCCATTGAGGTCTAGACTAAAACTGTTTTGAGTAACAAAGCACCAAGACATTGTATTTTTTTATATTAGCACTGAGGACCAATTGCCCTGTCGGACCAAGCGTGACGAAGCTTTTTTATGTTGTTTTCTTTCTTTTTTTTTTTTTTTACCCCCTCGTCTTTCCCTGGCTTTGTCTGTGCTGCTTCTCTCCATTGTTGTGACAGCACAAGTGCCAGTCGAGTTGCTCTGTATTAAGAAAATAGTGTTTTTATTATGATTTGAATTGTTTTAGTTTTTGTCTACCTCAGCACCTAATCTTAGCCTAATTGTTAGAAGGTGCCCAATTATTTTTTATTTTCTTTCTGTTGTTCTCGTATTGTTGTCACTTGTACAAAAAAATGAAATTAAAAAAATTGTTTTTGACATTTTTTTTTTTTTGCATTAGAGCTTTGCAAAGGTCCTTTGTCTTTTCTGGCGACAATGTGCTATTTTATTTTTTTTTCGGTTTTGTTTTCCCGTGGCAGTACGTTTCCTGTTTAAGTCGTGGCACCAATCTACAGCCACCGTCTGTTGATATAGAGGTTGTTTTCTTTATTTTGTTTCTTTTTTTTTTCCTCCTTTTTTGTTTTTTTTTTTCCATGTAGATTCAGACACATCTTTGTAACATTTCAGTGTTCTCTGATGGAGTGTTGAAAAAAAAATAAAATAAAAACGAAACTTAAAAGATTTCATGCTGCAGGTTCTCTTCTCCATGTTGTCAATAAAGTCAACGTTGTACCTTTTGATGGGAAAATATATTAAAACTTTTTTTCAAATCCTACTAACTGTACATTGTTGATTGAAGCTGGTTTTTTAAATTATCTGTGATCCCATAGTACAAACCAAAGTTAGAAAGCTAATCAAACAAATACATTTCATGTTATATCTCTACCTCTATTTGCTTCTTTAAATGCAACAGATGCGGAGAGAAAAATGGTCATTCCCCATCTTTTCTCGTTGTGTAAGATCAAGACTCAGGATTATAAGCTGTTGGAAAAACAATCAAATCATAATCCATCCAACCATCTTCTCGCACTTAATCCTTGTCAGGGTCGCAGTGGGGGCCTATCTACCCATCTCCAGTAGGAGTGTAAATAATAGTGTTGCGCCGATGCCATTTTTTGGCCCCGATACCGATACCAGATACCTGGCTGTGCGGTATCGGCCGATACCGATACCATAATAATGTAAAATAATTGCCATCATGGCTTTGTCAAGCTACTGCCTACCTTTGGGAAGCAGGAAAAAATCTAATACAAAGTGAAACCAGTAGAATTTTTTATTGCCTACCAGGAGTGGGTGACAATAGTTGAATAAACGTATGGCTCTCAAAATTGTACCGGTGCCCTATTTGTTGGTACTCGCCGATACCGATACCACCATTTTAGGGCAGTATCGGGGTCCCGCCCTATACTGGTATCGGTATCGGTGCAACACTAGTAAATAATAATCGTTTTGTATCGATGCATCGATCCAACAGCTGACGATCTGATACATCGACACGTCCGCAATAGTATCGATTCAGGGGTTTTTTTTTTCCTCCAGTCTAACTTTATCTATTTGCTCCTGGGTGTAATTCTGACTCCCATGCTGCGGTGCCACTAAACCTTTTTTGCCCTCCTATCTCGCTTCCTTTAGCCACTACCCTTTTTCCACTTGCACACACACACTCGCTTAAACCTATAGGGTAACGGGGTAAGTGAAAGAAGAGGCAGGCAAAAGATGATGTGTTCTTGAGTATTGAAAACTATCGAATCGTTGGGTAAGGAAATTGATACTGAATCGAATGGCCATGATGGGTGTGATTTACACCCCTAATCTCCAGCAGTATATGGGTGAAAGGCCGGGTACACCCTAGACTGGTCGCCAGTCTGTAGCAGGGCAACACAGAGACACAAACATACACACAAACACTGAAGGCCGATTTATACTCAGAAACCAGGTTGTCTGCCTTTTAGTCGCAGTAAATTTAAATGTGCCTCTGCTGCAGACACTCTGCTGCCCCTTTCCAAAATTGTAGGTGACTGCAGACAGGAGGCCTCTGATTGGTCAAATCTACATCCGCTCTACACTATGCATATTCCCTGTTTGGTACCTACCCACTTTTGTTTGTATGACCACCATTTTATGACCAGCTAGAAGAGCGAGGTGCGTAAAAACGCTGCGACCCTTTGTTCACCTGGATCTCCGCTCTTTTTCACCCTCATGTCCCTCTATTGTTGCACAAACCCACCCCTACTTCCTCACCGCCTCGGCCGTATCTAGACCCACAGCTAGTTCCTAGATAGCTAGACTGGCCCTCTTGCATTGTGGCATGAAATAATATGGCACAGACCACGCTTTTAATATATGGGGCATTATTCAAAAGTATCTGCGACAAGCTCACTGCAACACACTGCTGCAGGAGGATAACCAGCCCTTTCCGCCTAAAGACAATATAAAGAAGCCAATTAACCAAACGGTCATGTTTTTGGACTGTGGGAGGAAGCTGGAGTACCCGGAGAGAACCCACACATGCAAAGGTAGTACTGTACATGCAAACTCCATGCAGAAAAACCCCGGACCAGGAATCTAACCTGGAACCTTCTTTCTGCAAGGCAGCAGTACTACCCACTGTGCAACCCAAAATTGGCCTTTTAAAACTGCTTTTTAATACAAAAACAAAAAATATTCATGATGTAAAACTTGAACAGGCACTATCGATCACTACAGCTGCCAAACTAGAATAAACCTGTTTGACATTCAGCTGAATGCAGCCTGGATACCAGAACAAATTGCTTGAATAATCAACTAGCTTATATGAGTTTGCTATTTAATGTTCTACTCTTACCTCACTTAAAAAGAAAAAAAACTCCAAACGAAACACTTATCTGTAAATATTATAACATTAATCCAACAATTACATGTAATTTATGTAAGAGTTTTTGTATAAAGTGATTATGAATATTAAAATCTATTTTTCTTCTAGCCATTTTCTCAGAGACTTGGAGAGTAGCAACCAAACAGAATGCAGAGGCACATCTCTATTAATCATGCATGCTTGGAAGATGCACAACCTTTTTGAAGTGGATCCCCTCATGACATTTCCTCTTGCAATGTTCTCATAAAACGTGTTTTTGTTGAGTTTTTTTTTTTTGTAGATCAGTGTGTCCTATTGCACCACCTTTAATGGCATGCTTAGAGGTGCTGTTTTCATGTAATATCAACGCTGCAAAAAATTTAAATCTAAATAAGTTATTAAATAAGTCAAATAAGTGAATTTTTTCTTGAATTGAGGAAGTAATTGAGACACTTTGCCAATGGAACAAGACAATTTACATTTAAAATAAGAAAACACAACTGCATTGTCTTATTTCAAGTACATATTATCTAATTATCTTATTTTAAGACTAAAAATACTCATTCCATTGGCCAATTATCTTATTTAAGTATTCAAATTAATGGTAAATACACTTAATTTAAGACATTTTTTCTCATTTTTAGATGGTTTTTGCAGTGAAGAAACTGAACACCAAAGAGCATTTCTCAAAATGTTTCACACAAATATTCACACCCACTGAACTTCTTTTTTTTTTTGCATAATATAACCACAAGATTGCAAGTGTTTAATTATAATTGATCTGATGGACTAAAACAGATAACAATGAAAGTAATGAAAGTAGAAGGAAAAGGATGCATGTTTTCCCAGAATTTTCAAAATGTAAAAATGTATTTGCAGATGCAATAACAGGTGTTTTAAGTTGTCAGCAGTAATATGATCACATAACCAGAGAAATTAAGGTAAAACAGAGCAGAACTTCTCTAATGTGCTTGTATGGAAAAGTGACTGCTGTGCTGAAGGAAGCATTTAGACTGCAGACATTTTAAAAACTATCAGATATGTATCTGATTTAGTACCAGACAGACAGTGGCTAGGGGGGCCAGCATGTTTTTATGGGGGCACAGAAAAGTATGAAAGAATAAAACAGGGCAAGAGGTTAATAATATAATTGAAAGTATATAATGAGAGCAGCAGAACCAAAGAGCTACTTGTGGTTTAATTCAAATGTTATATTGTATTCAGTTGAAAATGTGTATTTTTGGATTGAACATGTTCATGTTATTTATCTAAAATTAAAAACAATAATTTCATAAAAGAAACCCTGAAAGAATTAGTTGCTAAACAGATATATCTACTGAAAGATAAATAAAATATATTCTTTGGAAAATTGTATCAATGTACAGTTATAATTCAGAAATATTACATATTTTTAGGGCATTAGAATTAAATTAGAGTGAACATTTTAAAATAGGAATTAAGTGCAACTGATACATTTAGCTGTAACAAATTAGACTATTTTTTTGTATTTGGTGCAAAATAACATTACACAGATGGAAACTGTGAGCCTATTTCCTTCCGACAGAAGCCTAGATCACCTAGGTTTTTAAATTAGTATTAAAACTAAATTTAAAGAAAAATAAAATGGGTCTAAGGGACCATGTCTGTTC